AATGTTTAAAGGTCCCAGCTCCCTTTTAGCAGAGTAGGGAAGGCTAGAGGACAGAGAGGCAATAAATTGATAAAAAGCACAGAATGTATATATACAAATACATATTTTCCCAGATTATACACACACACACATATATATATATATATCCCAATATATGTGTTTTCCCAAAATTCTTTTATTGAGTTTCATGAGTAAGTTTGAAGGCCACTCACTAGTTTAGTGAATTAATGGCATCACTAACAGACAACTTGTTGAGATAGTTGGTTTCATACTTTGGACACAAGGTGCAAGGAACCAAAGAGGGGTGTGAGTGAGAAAGTGTATGGGGTTTTTGTTTGATTGTTAGGGAGGAGGGAGTAAGGGAAGAAGATGGGGCAGAAGAGACCAAATAAAGTAACAACATGAGAAATAATAGTGCGAGGGAAACAGATAAAAAATAAGGTAAAATAAAGAAAGAAGTGCTGAATTTGAAAATGCCCAATCATTAGCAATGTGAAAAGATTGTTTTCCCAGTTGCCATTTCTGTTATCAGTACTCACAGTGTATGTGCATGCGCATTCACATGCGTATAATTCTCCTTTCATTTGACTAATATCTGTATACATAATATTTCCTTACAAAAAAGGCCATTCAATTATTCTCCTTTCATTTTCAAACTTGTGCTCTACCCTGAGTATGCTCCCTTTCAACAATATACTGCTTTCTTACTGCTTACCAAGTACAAGAACCTTATTCACGGACTGCGTATAAACCAAATGTGTAATTTATTCCATGGTTCACATTTTCTTCACATACACAAACTCTACCAACCTAGTTTATTTCTCATGTAGTATTCCTGGGTTTCAGTTAGTAAATTAGCCGACAGGAGTAAGAATGTTCTCCCCTCTGGTTATTTGAACTTCTAAAATTTCATAAAATGAATTTATTGCACATCAGATAAACCAGAGAAGGCATTGGTGAAATAATGTAATTCAGAATGTATTTTTGACCACTTATATTTGCTTTGGCTGACACTTTGCCAGGTGTTGTGGAACAAATAAAATAAATTTATGAACTGTTTTTTCCTTAAGGTACTTACAGTTTTGTTGGAGTGATAGGAGAAACAGAATGAACAATGATAAAATATGGAAAAATAATGCCACTGTCTATCTGGATGTGTCTGTTAGAAATGCGTTCATGTGTAATAGGAGGGGTATGTGACTGCATCAAAGTTGGACCAGTTGTCGCAGAGTTGATGAGACCACACTTTACCAGGCAGAGAAGGGTTTCGTTTTTTCCAGGTGGAGGATGCCTGATAGAGAATGCCATGGAGAAGAAGAATTGGAGATAGGATCAAAAGTGGATTTTGCAAGGAAACAGTTA